GCCATTCACTCCAACTATCACCCCTGCACCGCTGACCCTCATTCCAAAAGAATGTGCTGGTTGGGCGACATAACAGGTTACCGCTGTGTATTCCAAAAACATTGTGCGTCTTTCGGTATTAATTTATCTCAAAACCCAGCATTTTAATTTCTCAGAAACGATCATTGCGGGAAAATTGTGGGCCGGGACTAAGATTTTTGAACGATCGATGCGATAAAACGATAGTTCGAGGAACGATAGAAGCGGGAAAATGTAACATTATTTTATATGGGATGTATCCGGGACCGAACAAAACGGACGATGCATCCGGGAAAACGATAGTTCCGGGAACGATGGATAGAGGTTTCACTGTACCTATTACTTCTTAAAAAATGACATTGGAAACAAGATTCTTACCACGATGTCATGCTTAACAGGGGAATTGATAGGCAGCCGTACAGTACACACGTATGATATCTGACCATTATCAGTGATGACTTCAACAGTCCACAATGGTGTGAGACGTGTGAAGGTGTCACTTGGAAGCTTGGCACAGTACCTGAAACAGAGTTGTTATAGGAAAGAGTTATAGAGGAACTTTTAATGTAATCAAATTTTTAATACCTTAAAAATTACATCTGCTTAACCAATTCCCTTAACCTGAAGGTAAGGTTCTACATCACTACTACTAAATACTTGAAAAATGATGGACATGTAGATTTGGCACCATGATAATTTGCCTTCCTGCACAGCACTTTCAGTAAAGCAACTGTTTCTCAAATACATATACCAGTGATGGGACACCCACAATACCCACTTGAAGCGGCCCCCATATGACTCTTTTTCATTCTTCTGAAACTAAAAATCTCACTGAAAGTTCTAATTCTGAATGACACGAAGACATTCAGAGGAATAAGATGAGAACTCTGAAAATGTAAACAACTTCCAGAAAAACACTAGGTGTACCTGATCTCAATACATACCTATTGACAAGGGCTATAGCTGTTGCCATATTCACAGAAGGACTGTTTGGACTGTCACCTGGACAATATGCTTCTACAAGATCAGTAAATTTGTCTGCTTCTAATTCCTCTTCTTCTGATGGCTCCCGGTTTGCACATTTCCTTAGCAGCATCTGAGAAGAGAAAATGAAGGATCAAGATGTAATAATATTTTCTGATCACACTTGAGAAACAAGATTCCAATAATTAGAAGAGAGAGAAGAAAAAAAGCAGTAACAGGCTTAGAATAAAACACACAGGAAACATTTTGCTGAATACCATGACCATGTTATTTACAGTGCAAAAAATTAGTTCTAAACATCTGGATGTGCATGCACAAATTTAAGGGGTTACCTATCATACATCCACTTCAGGATGCAAGTCACTACTGGTCTCTTCTTGTATGCAATGGTATATTACAGTCCTTGTCCTTTAACTACCTGACTATTAATGTCAAGATTTAGCCAGTGAGAGGGTCTCGGGTGTTCACGACAATCCACATGGTACTGTAGAAACAAATTTTCAACGTCGTTTCTCTATCAATGTGTGGTGCGGTAAGATCGATGCCGTATTGATTGGTCCCGTTATTTTAGACGATTGTATGACAGGACAAAAGTACCTAGACTTTCTGCAAAATGGATTACCAGAACAACTAGAGGATGCTCCTTTGGCTACACGGATTGCTACATACTTTTAGCACGACGGAGCCCCTTCTCATTATACCTGACTTGTGATGCAACATCTCAATGACACTTTCCCTATTCGGTGGATCGGTCATGGCAGTACCATTAACTGGCCACCAAGATCTCCAGACCTAACCCCGTTAGATTTCTGTTTCTGGGGGTGGATGAAGAGTGCAGAAGAAAAGTGGATACACGAGACAAACTGCTCGATCACATAATGTATGTTATCGCCTGCATAAAGGAACGTCAAGATGCACTCAGACAAGCAACATGCCATGTCCTCACACAAGTTGCAAAGTGCATTAATGTTGACGGTGGAATATTCGAAAATGTATTGTACTAGGTAAACTGTACCAACTTTGTCACTTGAACAATAAATACCGGTATTAGAAACAGTATGTAATATCTCTTTCTTATCAACAATTTTGCAACTGTACAGTGAAATAGCTCTATCTCGGAAACTGTTCAGAATAGGACACATGTACATACACACTTTTTTGCTTAGAATGACCGATACTATGGCCTTCCAGAATATTGACCTTTCCTCCTGGGACACTCTGAATATTTCAGATTATTAATTTCAATTTTAACAATGAACTAAATTTGGTTGTAATTTGTTGAAGTTTTGATGACAACTGCAGAATATGTATACACAGCCTGTAACATATGCAAGTAATCTCAGTAAACACATTACAGGAACTTTAATATTTCATTACTTTCTTCTGATAATTACACACCATTTTCTACTAGAACATAAAATAAAATAACAAGTCTTGTCTGTATGGAAGTGTTAAAAAATTACTGACTTTTAATGCCAATGAAAACACGTTTCAAGAACGAGGCATCACTTCTTGCTTATGACTGAGTTCAGTGGCCAGCTCCTGTCAACACAGCAGCAAACCTTCAGCTTTCATAAATAGCAGAAAATTTCTTGACCAGCTGAGTGACTACCAGCTTCTCAAAAGGACTCTGCTCTGCAGAATATGTTATCTTCTAAATTACAGAAAATTCCCAAAAACCTTGCATGGGGACAAAACAAACACAAAAAAACTTGAATGTGTAAATTTACAAAGGCTCTGAGGTTTACCACCACACCTATTGGATCATTTCTTTTATTAAGAATATAGTCATACATTTTCAACAGCGTAGACATATTAGCTCTGTTTCAAGCCAAATATGACTCATGCCCATGTCTGATATTAGCATTCCTTATCTCGAACTTGAACTGCTGCCTACCTGTTCTATTTCAAAGTACTGTGCCAATTCATTTATGAAGTGCTGAGTTCTATCCTCTTCTATCATCAAGATTAAGTAAGCATCCTGAGCCCGAGCACGACCCTTTGATTGCACGTAGGATCGGTAAACTTTTGGTACATTGAAGTGAATAACCAGATTACATTTAGGAATATCAATTCCTTCTTCCAACACTGAAGTGCCCACCAACAGGTTACACTCTCGCATACGAAACCTTTAAAACAAAGACAAAAAGTATGAACTACTTAAATCTCTGAAAACATTTGGATTATTTCTGCAGATAGTGAAACCAAATAGGATTTGAGGTTTTCATGGCAGTGAGTCTGAAGATGGCTGTCTTCTGGGTTGTTGTGCCGTGTAGTCTGGTAGAAGTTTGCCGACATTTCAGAGGCCCTTGCTGAAACATCAGTAAACTTCTACCAGACTACATGGCACAACAACCCAGAAGATATTAACTGCATTACAAAAATTTAAACTGTACACCTTCTGTCTTACTTACATTAAAACATCATTTATTTTGTGAATTTATCATCCTTACTTAACAAAATATTACATTTTTTATATATTTTTTAGTTTACAGTAAAAGTTAAAAACACTCGTCATGAAAGCTCTGTACAGACAACAGATATAAAAACTATCATTCAAAAGTTAAAATTTCCATAGAGGCACATGCCATTTTGCCTACTCTGTAAATAAAATGAAATTTTTTATATTATTCTGTAAAAGATACAACTAAATAAATGAATAAAATGAGAACACAACAAAGAGGAATGACATTTTATTAAAAAATGAGTTTATGTAACCTCTTAAGCACTTCTTCCTGTTTACGATGTTCAGCTTCAGCTTCACGTGGATCTGTCACGGGATCAGCAACTTTGTCAACCGTATATTGGGCCATCAAGAATGAGAAGTCTTCATCAAATCGTCTTAAATCCTGCAAAATTTTATGCATGTAAAACTAAAATTATCAAACAGTAATGAATTTTAAAATACTGAAGGTGGCTGTCTTATGTGTAGCCCCATGTAGACTGGTACAAGTTTGCCGACGTTTCAGAGGTCCTTGCTGCATGCATCATTGGGCGATGAGTAAGCCACATCTGTGGAATCAGTCTGAGATATAGGAACCAGTTAGTCAAGCCAGAACCTTGGTCGGACCAGTGAGAACCTGGAAGCCATTATAAGAGAATATCTGTGGAATGTCTCCCCTCTCTCCTCTTGGCTCAGAGGCCTCTACCAGACTATTTGGCACTACCACCCAGAAGACAGCCATCTTTGAACTCACTGCCATAACAACCTCAAATCATAATTTTAAAATTGTGAAAGAAAATATTACTATATGGCAGCACAAGCATACGTTTTAGTTACAGTTAACTAAAAAACTAACCAACTAAATCCATGGTGCAGGGTATTCCTTCAAAAGTTGATTGTTACTCAGTTGGTCAAGGAATTCCTTGCCTTTCTGGAAACTGCAAGTCCGTTGGCATGGCCAGTAAGACCCACCAATAGACCCTAATCAGAAAGCAATTTTATGAAATTCTAACACCACAGAAGAAGAGTTCCCTAAATTTATTTCAACACTAGCTATTCTGAAAAATCATTTAAATTCTAACACATACATAACTATTATCATTTCAGTTTAATGATGAAGACAAAATAAATTTCCACAGAGGTGAGCCATGAATATGGCCCCCACCAAAGCAACCACCTGTCTGCTTATTCACAATTTCAATGAATGTTTGAACCTTTTACAATAAAAGAAAATCAAATTTATTACTTTCCAAGGCTCAGACATTAAATTTTTCAAAAATACTACACTAATCACATTATCAATTGATTCCACGTGTGTGAGATACTGAAGTTGATATATATTTCGGACTATTAACATTTTACTTTATACATTGTTACACATCAAATCACCATTAATACAAGAGCATATTTCATCTGATACCGTTTCTTCGCTTCAATGTTCTCATTCTCTTATACAAGCTTATTGAATGCTAAGTGATGACAGTATGATGGAAATAGAATAATCAAGTATTACAAAATTAATAAAAACACATGAACCAAGATAAAATGGTCAGACTTCAGTGATATTGAATACTTACATTCAAAAGATGGTACAAAATTTTGGCTGTAAATCGCTGTTCCACAAAAACAATTCCACATAAGGCATCCAAATCATCCTGTTGCATATTGCGGAACTGACGCCCTGCGGTATCATTTCTGCCTCCTCTAACAGGTCCGCTTCCATCTTCCTTTTGGTAACCTCTCCGAGAGAACCTCGAGCCTCTGTTTCTCGGATAAAGGTCTGTACGACACTTTGAAGGGGTAGTGGGTATACTCCTTCCTCCATCACTTTTCACTGAGAATTTTTTGCTAATTCCAGTTTCAGTTTTACTTGTTTTTATTTTATCACAATCATTTATAGACTGAGAACCATCACTGCTATGGTTTGAAATCGAACCCTCTATCACAGACATTTTAGAGTTTTTATTTGAGTCCAGTTCTTTGCACAACAACGGAATATTTGCACACTGAGCGGCCTTCATTTCACTTAACACACTTACGCAACTAGTACACTTTTCAAGTGATGGCACAACTTTAGCAATGTTAACCTCATTTTCCGAATTAGAACACAATTTATTTTGAACATAATCCACAGTTAAAACTTCAATGTTATTACTTTCATGCAAACAAGTAACCAAATGACAGCACGTCTCACCATTCACACATTCCACATTCTCATGTAATACTTCTGACTTGTATGACATTTTAACGTCATTAGGACATATAAGAACACCGTCTGCTTCTTGTACTATGTCCCCAATATTATTGACGAGTCCTCTTTGTTTTTCACAACCACAACAAAATGTCTTCTCGGAAATGAAACTATTGCATAAATTCGGTGATAAATCATCTTGACTTCCCTCGACACACCCCACACTTTCAATTTCTTTGGCTAACAGTACTTTGGTATTACTAGGAATATCATCTTCCTCTTTTGCCACATCTGTACTCCCACTCGCGCAATTACCGATTCTTTCAACGTCCAACTTCAAACCTTCAGTTTCAAGTAATGCATTTGTTTCACATTCTTCCTGCTTTTTATCAGGTAACTTTTCTGGCTTGAACTGACGCAGCACCTCCAAAAGCCGTAAAACTTTCGGTGTTGAGAATTTGTAGATTCTCTCCTTTTCATCGTATTTTTGAAAAATGTAATCACAAATTGACCTAAAATAAAGAGAACTGCAATGAATAAAAATATATCATTAAAATTTAATAACTATTTTATGTTAATCCCTTGACTCTGAACTATACAGCTATTTTCACAGATTAGAACAGCATCTAGATAGCCTATAACGAAATTTAATTATGGTGAAGTTCTATAAATAGCTTACATTTATTATAGTGAAACAATAGTAGAATGAAAGAGATTAAAAAATGGTATATATAAATATCAACAAAATCCAAGCAGAGAAACATATCATATTATTTCCTGAAGTAAATACATTGTTCATTCTTAGCAAAAACTTTCATACACTTAGTGTTTGACAAATTACTTTTATTTGCATCATTACATTTTGTATTTCTAATTTCTGGGTATAATATACAGGGTGGGTGGGAAGTACGTAGGCATTAAATAATCACTTATAACCATTTCTCAATGCCTACTTACTTCCCACCCACCCTGTATTATATAAATCTTCATTCCAATTAAAGGTTAAACTTATGACTTCCGACTTCCTGCAAATTACAAAATTTTTTTAATCCCCAGAAAATCGTAAATAAGGGGGACCCACTATATCTTAAAATTCTGATTACAGTTTTCTACCACACACTAAAATATAAGTTTTGAAGAAGAATCCAAGTATGTATGACCAATATATGTAACAATGGCATTTGTTATTATACCATGCAGCAAAAATATTAAGTTTTTATTAAATAAGGTATGTAGAAAATGTTTAAATGCAGCAAGTTGTGAGAAAAGATGTGAAATTAGTATCGGCAGTCTTCAGATTCAACAACTGGTTAAGGAGAAATACTTTTTATTTTTTAATACAAGTGACTTGATGGAATTTTACATTTAAAAATAATCTGATGTCACCTTTGGTACAGTGTGAAAAAACTAATGGGTTATAAATTGTGATTGCTGAGAAAGAATTGGTCTAGTAGACAAAATTCTCATTCTCGGTACAATTCTAAAAACTTTTACAAATTCTGATTTTGATCTCATCTAAAACTGAAAAAGTCATTCCCACAATTTCCTAACACACAGTTTAAATTTCTAGTTTTATAAACAACCTTACGATATTACCTAATTTTTACCATAACCGTAGATACCATGCACAGCAAAAGGAAGTGCCGTTCGTACGGTGTCTTTACTTTCAACTTCTCAAGTTGGATCAGCAAAACCAAAGCTGCCCGATCAGCACACCAAGGACCTGAAGCATTGAGAAACATTAAAAATGGTCATCACATACTTCTAATGGATCGTCTTATTCTAGCGATCATCACACACAGAGTATACAGTAAGAACACAAAACATAAAACACAAAGATTATTAATGCATTCAAAATATTATTATTCACAAGACATTCTTCCTATTTTAGATACACAAAAATATGTTGGGCTTCAGAACAAATCATAAAGAGACAATAAGACAATCTAATTATACCATTACCAAAAACTGATGATTAAACAATACCAAATGAAAGTTAATTATTGAGTCCTCTGCTTAATGTGATGTAATTGATGATTACAGTGTCTTATTAACATTAGATTTATTTGTATCCCACTGTTACAAGTATCACTGTTTCTTGGATAAATGCCTGAGGCTCCACAAATCACAGTCCTGATTATCTTGGTATAAATAATCTGTTATAACAAACTATTCTGAGCTCTCATTCTACTGCTTTACTCTCCAACTGACTTCACAATCCTTGGTCTGCTGCCCTGATCGTCACTTCAACACTGGGCACCCATGAAGGTAGCAGAAGGGAAGACAAAGAATTCTGAACTGTCTGGCAGCAACCATTACTTAATCTGCTCTTAATTTAATCATGAACCAAATTTTGGTTTGCTGCTGATATACCCTGAGCTTAAAAATCTGTACTCCTCCCCCAGTATTTTCAGGGTGATTTAAGTCGAGAAGAATGAGATGGGCGGGGCATGTAGCAAGAGATGTGCACCAGGTATCAGTCGGGAAGCCTGAGAGGAAGAGACTGCTGGGGAGACCTAGACGTAGATGGGAGGATAATGTCAGGCGGGATCTATGGGAGATAGGAGTTGAAGGAGACAGGATTTTGTTGGCCCAGGACAGGGTCCGGTGGAGGGCTTTGGTTAATTCGGTTATGAACTTTCGGGTTCGGTAAGCCATCTAGTTAGTTAGTTAGCTGCTGATATACCCAGATACTTAAATTTTCCAACATGTTCAAAGAATTTATTAGCTGCCTATATATAAGAATCGTGTCCTCTAGTGTGGTGCCAAAGAAATTATACACCTTCTTTGCTTCTATTTCCAGACAAATTTCATTACTGCCATCTAACAGAGCTGCTGTGTTTTTCTTTATAATATACATTAAGACCACAAGAATAAATCAGAAGCTGGTGCATCTCATTCAGAACCAACCTTCCTGGCAGTCCACACCACAAATGAAGCTCTTCTTTCAAGAAACCTCCATTAAAATGTATAGGAAACTATTAAGACTGAATGGGAGCCAGTTAACACAAGTGACAAGATTATTAATAGATCATCATCACTTAAAGGGATACCTGTTCAAACCAGGTGCGGCAAACAGTCCCACCTGTTAGCAATGTTATTACAAATTAGAAACAAATAATATGTTATATATGACTGTAAGGTCCCAGCTGAACTGAGGATCCATCATCTGGGAGTAGATTTCTGCAACCACATGATCATCATAAGCCTCTAAAAGTATAATATTACACTTCAAATAAAGTGTAAACTGCCAGAGGGCAGAGTCACAAAATGGGAAGCACAACAAAAACACAGTCATAATACCCTTCTTTCATTTGTCCATTCATTTAAGAAAGAAAGAAAAAGTTAATATAAAGGAAATACCTAATGTGTGAAGTACATCTAAGAAGTCATTAAAAATTTTCTGTGGATCAATCTTGGGGTCTGGAATGCCCTTTAGTTCCTCTTGAAATTCATCTTCATACACTTCAGATGGGTCATAACGGTGATCAGATATGAAGGTCACTGCAGATTTAATATGAAGTTCTAAGACCTCATCCAAAGGTCCTGGTGTGGGCAAACTGCATTCAACTACCAATTCTTTGGGTTTGGTGCAATATCTATAAAGGAAAGACAAAAATAACAAAATATGTAACACGCTCATACTAAAACGTTAATTTGTATCTTATATGCGTCATGTTTGTGTTTGATTAAATATATTTATTTTGTACAGTCTATACACAAACGTTTGAAGTTTATTGGTGCTGTAAAAAATTATATAATATTAAAACATTTTATTGTGTAAAATATTATATTAGCGCTCTTAATCGTAAATACGATTTTACATTATATTTTTTAGCGCTTTTATTAAAACGACATGTTTCGACGGGTAATACCGTCGTCTTCACGTTTTTATCAATTTAAAATATTTTAAAAACTAAATATATATATTTAAAACGTTAAGATAATACTGCAAAATCTGCTTCAGAATGTTTTCAAAACTATTCTCTTGGCCAAGTGTTATACACGTGAAACTTCACTATACTCATGTCTTCGGATATTTTACAACACTTTTCTACTACATCGATTTGATTGGTGTGAAAGAACAATGTAAATCTATAAAATACTGAAAAGCATAACAACATTAAAATTCATGAGACCACAGGAAAACTGTGCTGGGATCCATGCTACATGCAGATGGGGTTTCATATTTATTTTAGTAATGAATGCTCCCTCTCAATACCGTAATACAATTGAGTAACACATGGAATAAATAATACAACATTATTTACAGTGTTTTATTTTTGAGAAATAATATGAATTTTGGTGATTCAGTGTAGATTAAGAATGTATTAAAACATAACAAGATAATGTACATAAGAAGAGTGAAGAAAAGGAGGCAAATTTGTCTCTTCTTATTGGTTCTGTCTGACAGGATTCTGAATTTCATTTTTGCCATATATATAATTTACAATTATTTTTCATCTGAATATGCCTCCAATATTTCACAATGAAAATTTGGTATAAATATTACATATAACCATGCAGTACAACTGAGTCTGGTAATATATGATAATTATTTCATGTTTTTTGAATAAAAATTTTCTGGATATTATCCATCGTCTAGTAAAATTAAATATAAAACGACGTTTCAGAGATGGAGCTCTATCTCTGTTTTCAGGTGCCTACTCAGTTGGCACCTGAAGATGGAGATAGAGCCCCATCTCCGAAACGTCGTTTTATATTTAATTTTACTAGACGATGGATAATATCCAGAAAATTTTTATTCAAATGACTCGTCATCATCGTCAAGAACTTTTAGATTTGATTTCATGTTTTGTTAAATAAATAAGTGTTATGCCTGATTTCTGCTTTAACAAAGTTAAACAGTCATTTTAAGCTTCATTTCCAAAAACTCCCTGATTACAGGTACAAAAACTTGTCACCTGGGCAAATGTTAAATAGGAGTTTACTGAACTTCGAGACATAACATCATATATTGTTTCAGGATCCTACATTATGTAGCACTAGTGTTGCTCCATTCTCAGAAATTTGAATACTGTTGTTCTTTAATGATGTTAATACTGATTGTAGGAAATTGAAAAATAGAAGGCATGACAGCCTCCAATAGCATACAGTCATACCAAATTTCTTGCAATTGGACAATGGTAATGTTAGACAGCTGTTGGATAAACTGGTACAGCTCACAGATAAGATTTATGAAAAGACAACACTAAAGGCTGTGTTATGGTACAATTATGTGATGACTTAAATTTTAATCATAAACTATTCTGTCTTTTAGTGAATAATAATGATATACTCATTAGGTGTGTAGGAGAGAACAGTCATGGCATACCTGAGAACAGACACAATGTCACTTGCCGTCTCAGCCGTACTATGCAATACCATTTCCAATCGGTTGATCTCCGCTTCTAGTCTTCCTGGATCACATGTGCTGTTCAACAGAGGAGCTGTCAGGCCCAGGATTCGGGGTCGTTCATAACAAGTCACAAACTCTTTCATAATCTATAAGATGAGCATAGAAAAGTGCACAAAAAAATGAGAGATAACATTTACTTTTGACTTATCTAACAATGCTGTACTAGAGCTGAATGGCAGGATGTTAATAGATGTTTCTTGAGAAATTCAGATGTCTGCTCTCAAAAATCTAGTAACAATAAAGCAGCGAAATCTAGCAGGAATACCTATCTCCATTGTGACTACAATCTCATAAAAAATCATTCAATTCTGAGGCAGTCAGGTTAAAAATGTCTCTCTTGTGTAAATTTGATGTGGAATAACCCAATAACTTTGTTTTGTTGAAGAATTCTTCCTAAAAAACTCAATTCATGACCAATCAGACTAGTAATCAACCTTTTACAGTATATATTGCTACTGAAATATTCTATGAATGCCTGTAAAATACGTATCAAAGTATTTCTCACTGCTACACTGATGGTGAGACCATATTACTTGCTAGTGCTTAGTACAGGGCAAAGACCAAAGTGGCATGCACTGCATACACACCTCCACACATTTTCTAACCTTTTCAAAAATAATGCCTTTTGTATGGTTATCTTTTGGGTTGTTATGCAGTGTAGTCTGGAAGGCATTTACCAACATTTCAGAGGTCCTTGCTGCGATGACGGAGAACAGAAAACAAGCTAACAGTCACTTTTTGGAAACAGCTATCATGCTAACTGGCTGCTCTGTGCACCGACCAGGCCGTGCGAACTGCAGCACTAGGGAAATGAGCTGGCACGTAATTTGGTCCAAGCAGTACACAGTCTGTGCTACTGACAGCGTCATTAAATAAACCTCAAATCACTTCTCACTGTTCATTTTGATGTGAAGTAAACAATGCATCAATAATGCTATTTAAATCACAATCTTCCTTAAAATTACAGGTGGTAAAACTCGTATGTATAAGGTACGTGGTAAAATTCAAACTGGTTAATCCGATTCAACTATATTTTCATTAGCATACTTTTCACTTAACACATAATTTTTACTCTTGCTTCCAACCTAACTTATTATAAACGAATTTAACAATACATGAGAGGGTGCAGACAACAACACTCTCCAGGCCCAGCAACGTAACCTCATTTATATATGAATATGTTGAATTCTAGGAGAAGTCTACTTAAATAAGCTTGTAATGGCAAATACCAAAAAACATCTTACCTCTCTCATTGGATGTTCTCTAAGAGCTCTATGACATTCATCCAATATGATTAAATTGAGGAAGTTCATCTGCATAAACCCACACTTCATGATCTCCAAGCATATCTGACTTGTCATTACTAAAACCTAACACAGAAATAAAGCCTGATCAAGTATTGCTCATAAATTCAATTCAATTATTTATTATTACTGCGCTGCATCAACAGCTAGAAGGCCAATTACAGATACAGCACAAGCTAAGAACACAAGAACAAATACAGAAAGGAGATTTATCTAAAACTACCTGAGTGTAGAGGACATTTATACACAAAGGCAACTTGCTATTGAATACATATTTTGTAATAACAGTTTAAATACATTAAGTCATTTAGATTAACACAAGAAGAAATATGCAAAACATGCAATGTACAAGATCAGAGAATTTACAGATTATACAGGTCATATGACTCATCACGCTTAACCATTCTGTGTAACTTCAGATCACAAAAAAAAAACATACCTACACATCAAATTCGTGTCCCAACACGACACTTTCCAAAGATGTATTAAAATGTTAACTAAGTGTCATGGGAAAAAGTTTCACCAATCTGGCAATGGTTTTTTTTTTGTAAATTATGGTCAATTGTCAAAGTCAAAATGTGCGCAAAACAAAAGTCCCACTTAAGACCTTTCAACTGGTGCAAGAACGAGTTCCTTGTATTAATTAGGACCACAGTTACAAGCATATTTTTGATTAACCAAAATGATAGAAAATTTAATGAAAAATTAAAATTTAAAAATGGACACAGGAAGGTAACATTAAAAAAAGTCGCATCCTAAGGAAACCCAATAAGTTTGCAAAATGTAATTACCAGACATGGCCAGGAATATGTTGCCCCTGTGTGTGCTGATTTCACAAGGAAAGACCCTTTTAGAAAAGCAATAACAATGAGCCTGGAAAGATTTGAACATTTTAAAGTGCCATGGGGTGTAAAAACTAAAGGCTGGTCCATCTTGGATCGCAGCAAAAACATACTATTCATTTTGGGCAAATATGCAAAGGTTCATAACAAAGAGACCTGTAACTTTAGAACAGGACGTCCCATGTAAGCTTAAAAACAAGGTAGCACCCACATTGTGGCCCTAATTAAACACAACAAATTCAATACAAATATTTTGAACTTGCCATAGTAGCCACTTCATTGTTTATCACTTAACCACCCATACTCTTATCAAGCAAAAACAAAGATTTTGAAATAAAGAAAAAAGACAAAATTTAGGATGATTCCAGTATGAAGTCTGGGAATGTAAAATGGAGCCCAATGCCTGCAGCTGCTCTACAACCTGGAAAAAAGGAGAAAAGGGAAGGATGGGAAGTGTGCACAGGCCACAATCAGATGTGTGACAGAGGTGCCATCATGAGGTGGAATACCGAAACAAGGCACATGACCTTATGAATGAAAGCATTATCAACTGAGCCAATGTGTCGACATTAACTTCTCTCAACTCAACATTAGCTTCTCTGGACTCACGGGTCTGTGTACTGCTTATCTCAAGGTTCCTGTTTGTAATAACCACATATAAAGTCAAATTTATAATGCAGAAACAACATGCATGTGAGCTGCAACCACTGAAAAATTCATGCACATACTGCAGTTAATTTAATCTGTCATTTGTTTAATTCTGAGTTAGTAAATGTATTACCTTCAGCTATTTGGCAAAGAAAATGAGTTGGTACACAAAAATGTATTACCTTCAGCTATTTGGCAAGGAAAATGAGTTGGTACATGAACTACCACAGGATGCAAAGTGTTAAACATACTGGTATGCCAATAGTAGGTACTCAGTTGACGTTCATATCTCTTCCTCTGGAGTAAGGCTAGCCATATTAATTATACAACACACAGAGCCAGATGTCTTTATTGTTACTTCAAAATCAGCAAATTATTTAAATTATTTTCTAGAAGACTTGGAGAGAGCTTTCAGTACAATTTTCATGCAAACTTCAAAGCAAATTACCAAAACAAATCTTACTTCTGCCCAAGTGTTGTTAAAAAATAAAAATTTGGTAAGAGAAAGAATAAAATTTATATCAACAGCACACCAAACTTTTTAATATCAGTACTACATTTAGTTGTTATAGTTGAATTTTTCCCCTCTCAGATCTACAATGTAATCTTGGGCATGAAACTGCTACAGATGCATCTATTAGATACTAGCAACCATTTTAATGCAATTTACAATTACTTAGGTTGTTTTATTTAAGAATGAAGCAGAAAGAAAACTGACATTCTTGAGATATAGCAAAAGTGCAGTCAATCCTACTCCGATCAGAATGTCTGTCAACCATTTTGTCTTACAGAAATAATACCTGATTTTCTTGAAACTCCTGTTCCCAGTCTTCAGTGTCAAACATGTCAACTTCATCACTAGACGTGTATTCTCCAACAGACAGATCTGTCAGATGACGAATGTACGATGCCTGCTGCGCCACCACAGCCACTGTGTCCACCAAGTACAAAGTTCTTTTGCCACCATGTTGGAATGGCCTGAAATATTATATAGTTACAGAGTCAATAAAATGAGCAACCTTTCTTTGCACAAATTATTATATAAAACATTAGTGTTCCATACACATTAATAATAAAGACAGTTCACTATAATGTAAGAAACAAAATCAGAACACTCATTCTACATCATTCTACTTCTTATTTATTATGCTGTCTCCTTTACAGGAGGTTGGCGGCGTATTATGAACAGGATCCTTCCATCCTTTTCTCGGACTGGGACCTGTTCATATATGTTTTTTAGGCAGGTGATCCAGAAGTGGTTTGCCATTGCCTTCTTCTGCGTGTATGGAGTATGGAGTAATTGTTGGGATGCCACGGA